GTTTTGAACCACCATCCTCAGATCTCAGCTTCCTGAGTAGCTAGGATTACAGGTGTGTGCCACCAATAACTGGTTGGTTCTACTAAATTGAATCACACTTCAACTTCAAGGGAAAAAAGAAATCCATAATGCTTCCTTTGCTGCTGATGTTTTCTCTAACTTGTGTGTGTCACAATGTCTATGACTGAAAAGGTCTCAAGAAATTCCACACTGCTGATTCTGAAGGAAGAAATATGGTGGTAGTTCATACACATTGAACTCACTTTGTATAAGAATTTTTTAACAGTTAACTGCTATTTCTATGGGTTTTAAATAAGGCTACCCTGGCTTGCTAAACAGCACACCCCCAAATCCTATTATTAGAATCCAGTAGTAGGTGGAGACTTCTTTTCTGCCCTGTAGACCGAAGCTAACATGCCAGAAATGCACAGACCTATGACGAATGCTCTGATCACGATGACTTTGGCATTTTCCACTGTATTTTGGGAGAAAGAAACATATTTTTTTTTGTTTAGCAGCAGAATTATCCTTCGAATAAAAAGGTAAAATGATTAACCTTAACAGAATAAGTATTTTTTGAGATGCATTTTTTCACTTGAAGAGAGCCGCCCATATTAATCCATTGATATGGTGGAGAAAATACTTGAGTATTTTTTTCCCTCTATCCTAAAGATAATAAACATTCTTTTGTTCTGGTACCAGGCTTTGGACTCAAGGCCTTTCATTCTTGATTTGATTAGCTTCCCTTATTCGAAGATTGCCGTCTACCATACCTTCAGTTCTGCTAAAGGATATCCTAAATGAGTTGATATGTCTCTCCGCTGATCTTTCACTTAGCTTCCTCTCATTGTGACTGACAAGAAATTATGTGCACTTGTGTAACTCATCTGATGAAGTGCCCATAATCTGAATTCTCATATACCCATGCTTACAGTTACATTTGCAGTATGTATGCCATAATCACTTAAAATAAAAATGATATTATGATCAGTAACATCCAAGATATGCAATTTCAAAACTACTTCACTACAGTTTTCCCTTCTAGGAAGGATGGAATGAAGAACTTGAACTGATACCAAAATAGTAATTCGAGTTAAAATGTTAACAATAAGTAGCTTCAGGGATCCCAAAACTGCAGAAGCAACAAGATCTACGATCTAAGGCTCAAGAGAAGAGGACTTGGTGAGGTGCAGGAGTTACCTCTGTGGATATAAGACTTGGCCTGGGGAAAAGGCTTCTGATGGAAGTTAGAGGACCATGCAGAACTGAGTAAACTTCAGAGATTTGAGTGACAAAATGTAAGCCTGAGAGATTTTAGCAATGGGGCCAATTATCCCCTGACATTGGTCAAATTCTGAAGCCTCAGGGTCTCCATGGAAAAATAAAACTTTCAAAAAGCACTTTAAATTTTCTTTCTGTCTTGTCTCTCTCTCTGTGTGTATGTGTGTGTGTGTGTGTGTGTGTGTGTGTGTGTGTGTGTGTGTGTGCCGTGCACGCGCGCGCTCAGGGAGCCTAGCTATTTTCATCAAAGTAGGAATCTACCACCTGAGTCACACTTTACGTCTGGTGTTCTGTTGGTCAATTAAAGATAAGCTCACAGACTCTCCTGCCTGGGCTGGCGTCAAACTGAGATCCTCAGATCTCAGCCTTCTGAGAGCAAAGTACTTAAAATATTAGTTTCAAAACTATCAAAGGAAAGCCTTCACATAAACATAGGATGCTGATATGTTTCTGTAGATTAAGTCCAGTCCCTAAGTGAACAGTTTATACATTTCTAAATGGTTAAGGTAAAAGTCAAAAGAAATCTAATATTTTGGTATATGAAAGTACAGAAGGTTGAACTTTCTATGTTCATAAATGAAGATTTATTGGTACAGATCCCTGCCCTTTATATATTGACTTTGGCTGTTTTCTCACAATAAGTAATTGCCAAGAGATGAGATGATTCCCGAAGCCTAAAATATTTACTACCTGGCCCTGTTTAGACAGTGCTTGCCAACCTGCACTAGTCTGCTGGGTAAAAACTCTGGCACACAAATGCAACCAGGAATGGGAAACTAAAGATGACTGAGTAATCTTAGCAGAACCCACTCCGCCACACTGCTAGCTTGATTCTGATTGGATGAAGGTAATCAGCATTCCCTCTATCTGTCCACCAGAAGAATCAGACTTCCTAGCTAGAGAAAAATGTCATCATTTGCAACAGTTACAATTTATTTTTATTTTTTGGTGCCGATGCTGGGGCTTAAACTCAGGGCCTGTATGCTGTCCTTTAGCTTCTTTTCTTTTACTCAAGTCTAGTACTCTACCACTTGAGCCACAGCTCCACTTCTGGCTTTTTTGGTGTTTAGCTGGAGATAAGAGTCTCACAGATTTAACTGCCCAGGCTGGCTTTGAACCATGATGCTCAGATCTCAATCTCCTGAGTAGCTAGGATTACAGGGTGAGCCACTGGTTCCAAGCTCAGTTACATTTTTTAATAACACATTTTACCCTAATTCCAACATTCACAAGACTGCTCCACTAACTTTGTATGCCTGAGCTAATGTGCGAGTTACTACTGATTTGATTAGCAGGCTGAAGAGCACTCTCTTAACATTGAACATTTTAAACAAACAACGGCAGCCAACACAATTTAAACAAAAAGAAAAAAAAAAGCATAGTGATAATGTTACCTAAATCCATCTTTCTTGGCAAGAAACTGTATGTATAGAATAAAATCATTACAATTAGTTAGATGTAGTTTCCATTATGTAACATTCCAATAATATGTGGACTCAAGCCTATGAATTATTTATTTTGTAGAAAATGAAAACAAATAGTAATTGAACAGCTGTAAATATTCCTGATAAACTCTTTTCTATGACGTTCTTTCTTTCTCTTTTGTTCTTTCTTTCTTTCTCTCTCTCTCTCTCCCTCCCTCACCTCCCTCCCTCTCTCCTTCCCTCCCTCCCTCTCTTCCTTCCTTCCTTCCTTCCTTTTTTCAATATTGTGTAAATGCAGGGCCTTGGGCCTACTAACAAAGTGCTTGACCACTTGAACCACTCCTCTAGATCTTTTTTGTTATTAGGTTATTTTTCATATAGGTTCTTGCTTTTGTTCAGGCTGGCTTTTGTTCATGCACGTGTGCTCAGGGAGCCTAGCTATTTTCATCAAAGTAGGAATCTATCACCTGAGTCACACTTTACTTCTGGTGTTCTGTTGGTTAATTAAAGATAAGCTCACAGACTCTCCTGCCTGGGCTGGCTTCAAACTGAGATCCACCTAGCCAGTAGCTAGGACTAGAGGGGCTTACTAATGTATACTTTTGGTCTGGGTTGGACTCGAACTTCAGTCCTCCAGATCTCTGCCTCCTAAATATCTGGACTTACAGATATAAGCCACCTTGCTTGGCTTTCTGCAGTCATATTTCAGTTAAATGTAGCTCATAGGTCATTGGCATTGGATTTTAAGCATTTACCACCCTGAGAAGACAGACAAATTCAGATTTACTAAAAACTGATCACATTGAAATATTATAATGATACAAAATGATACACATCCATCTCCTGCAAGATTTAAAATTTTGGCTAATAGCTTTTTTTTTAAATAAAAAGAACAACTGAAAGAAGCAAGGCAGCTGAGAAGTTCATATGTCACAGAACTGCAAAAATATTCAATTCATTTTAATTAGTATGTACTAAGGAGTCTACATCTGTGGCATAAGTAAAATTGTAACGCTCAGGAATAACAAATCAGGTCATTTTAATTTATAACCTATCACAATTCCCAGTGAGTTCTTATTGGTGTCAATGAAATGTAACCTAATTGTGCACAAGAGTTCAGATCATGTAATAATTTTATTTAATTCAATCACACAGAGTTATACTAAGATATAGGAGGGAAAGAATTATGGATATGAATATGAAATTAAATATGATACTGATATTTATACATTTATATATACACAAAACAGCATTTTGTCATTTTTAATTTAGCTAAGTACTATGTCTAAACTTTGAAGAGTTGTCTTATAAGAGGAATGCATGACAATATTTGAGAAAGCTAGAATTGCCGTTAAAATGAATAGACTTTCAACATTATAGGTCTTTTAAAAGTTGACTTTATAAAAACTTTTCTAAAAGTTCAAATATTCAGTCACTTTTTCCCCCCCTTAATAGCTCTTCAATGACAGGTACCTCTAAACAGGGCTCCAGTAGTTTGATAAGCTAAAGACTATGAATATGGGCAATTAAACTATCAGCAGAACACACTATCATTTTAGCTAGATTCTAAGTATTCTGTTAACATTAAATTCAATATCTTAAAAAGCATACATGTATCATCAATGACAGAATTTATCTATATCCTTTATGAGAAAAATCAGGGATTTTTGTTCATCTACTAATCTAAGTTACTTTTTAAAAATTCTTCACATGCACATAAACAATCTATTTTAAAACAAGTCTGTAATATTTACACTGAGAACTGGAAAATAGCAAGGTTAATCTAAGACATCATGCAACTGGTTATTTTATTTATGTATTTAAAAGAAAAACAGGACGTGTGTGTGTATATATATCTGTATATATATAAATATTGGTTCAATAACTGGCAGAATGCATTTCCTTTGAACACAAAATCAGATATTATTTGTAATTCCACCACACTATTTGTCTTCGCATCCTATCTGACTCCAGTGGAAAGATCAGAGTGCTCATAGAGACATATTGCAAACAAAAAGTCCTTAGGAGGTGGTGGAAAGTCAGGCCAGGAGTCAAACAGAACCCACGGAGACGACAGAGACGTGATATTCAGGGAAGAAAAGCAAACCCACATGGCCCTGCTAAAATGCTGAGTTAATTTTCTCTCCTATCTGAGCATTAAATATTACAGTTAGAAAACTGCTTCCACAAGATTGTTTTTTTGGTGAGTCTCTGGATGAGACACACACACACACACACACACACACACATTTTCAAAGTGCATTGCTGAAACCACATAAAAACTTAATAACCTACCATTTTCTTTGCACTCTTCTGGAGGTTTAGCCTTTTTCGCAAGTCGTGGATCCAGCCATGATGTTGTCTTTGTGTTATGGCTGAAAAGAAAAGAGACCACTCTGAACAGACACATACTAAAACGAATCAAGTGTATTCCTGAAGAAAAAAAAATAAACGGGGTTAGTCCAACAAAATTGCAATCGATACACTTAATTTGCTTACTGGTTCTAAGTAGCCCTGAAGGAGGTGTAAGAGTAATTGTGCAAGGCAGCTGTAAATTTGGCAACCTCAGCTCCCTGTCCTCAAAGCAGCTATTTTTATTAAAATCAACTAGGATGTTGCCAAGTTAACCTCATTGAAAATGCAGAACTCATCCAGAGCAAAAGGAATTTATTACAAATACAGGATTCTCCAGTTGGAAGAGCACAGTCTACAGACTCTGATACTGTTTCCTGAGTTTTGCAAAAGCATTATTTTGCTCCTGAACCTGCCCTTTTCATAAACAATTGTTGTTGTTTTTAACTACGGAGCTGGCAGAGGCAGTACGGAAGTGAAGCGAATTATAACATGTTCTTAGAATTCCTACATTTCCCCCAGAAGTGATTAATAGCAATTTCATTAACTCACATTAAGCTCTCTTTCCCCTGTATATGTTCAACCAGCCAGGAAGGAAGAGAATAAAAAAAAATGTCTAGATTCTAATGTTTCTGGGATGGCATTTCTAGGAATTAATGAAAAAAAAAAAAAACACCAACACTTTTTTTTGTTGTTGTTCTGAAAAAAATTTCATGTGAGTCTATTGCTAGAAAGCTAACAAGCTAAAGAAATGTTCTCTGGGCTGTGTCTCTTTTCTTTTTCTTTATCATTTCCTTTTTTTTGTTTGTTTTATTTGTTTTATACTGGTCCTAGGGCTTGAACTCAAGGCCTAGGCACTGGCCCTGAGCTAATTTTACTTAAGTCTAGTCCTCTACTACTTGAGCCACAACTCTATTTCTAGCCTTATTTTTAGTAGTGAATAAGGGATAAGAGTCGTACAGACTTTCCTGTGAGGGCTGGCTTGGAACCACATTCCTCAAATCTCAGCCTCCTGAGTAGCTAGGATTTCACACAGGTATGAATGCCCACAGCCCAGGCATAGATGTGTTTCTGAAAGTGGTCCCAGCAGCACCTGCACTGGAATCATCTGATGGTCTGGCGAGTAATGCACAGAACAACAGAACAACAAAATTAGAATATTCATCACTGTCAAGCAATCCAGGTGATTTATGGGCACCTTATAATCCCTAACAACCTGATGCTATACCTTGGGACCATGTCCACTTTAGGGACACATTACCAAGAATACATTTGGGAGAGCACTGGGAAGAATAGGTAAAAAAACTCACAGTATGGTAATATGTAAGGTTTCTACAAAGAAAATTCAGAAGGACAATCAATGAATGGGGCAAGGCAGGGAAGAAGGTAAAATAGGTTGGAAGCAAAAAAATTGGCCCTGATCATCAGAGAGCCTGGAACAAGGTGAAAAAGAGGTCAACCTGTTAATGATGATGTAATTTCACAGCTTCCCATTCCTTGATGGCAATTAACTATATTTGAGACATCAGAACCAAAAATACTAGCTTTGTAATTTGATTCAACAGTCCGAAAGAAAACCGCTCCAGAGCTCTATAGCTTATAGAATACTTGAAGTGACTAAATCCCCCTTAATGAGGGAGTTCCAAACTAGAAATGAAGACGATGTGGCCCAGCTAGACCATGGAAAACAAACCTACTCAATCTAAGGTGGTAAATTCCTCTTCACACAACATTTTCTGGATGATTATCCAATCTGCCACGAGCAGCACCAACTTTATCTTGAAAATGGAGACTTTGAGACCTGTGTGGGGGTTATGAAATCCCTACGATTGAGGAAGATTCCCTCTTTTATTTCTGCCTTTCATGTGGGACAAGGAGAAAATATTCACCATAACTTTCTTCACCTTTATGAGTTCCTCTCTGACAGGTACCTCTGAACAGGGCCCTAATAATTGAATCAGATAAAGTCTGTGAATCTGAGCAAATAATAAATCATCAGGAGAGCATGCCAGCTTTTCATTTTCTCCAGTTTGACCCCTGTGAAGTCTTTTGGTACTTCATTACCAAGTTTTTGGAGGATATAAAATATTTTGGATTCTGATCTGCTCCTAGCCCTCCTTTCTGTGATGTCAATGTAAGCTTGCCTTTTCTTAAATGAAGACTAGGTAGTCTTCATTTATCCATTCATCCATCATTGCATGATGGATGGAGAGTCTCACTATTCTAAATGAGGGGATAGGAAGCCTGGATTCCATACTTGCCACTCTCATTTTAGAGAAAGAAGGGGAGAAAACACTTGAAGTGTTCAGTATGTCCACACTTAGCGTGTGTGCATGAACATGTGTGTCAATGTACATGTTTCTATAAGGGAAAATATGAGGAGGTGGGAAGGGGGAAATAAATGTCTCTTCTTTTTGCCACACCTGCTTCCTCCAAATCCTTCCCCTCTCTTTTTTGGAAGGAAAGTAATTTCTAGTCCCTTTAGATTTATTCAGAAAAGCAAATATACTTATGGTTATATATTAAAGGACATTAGTATGCCACTGCAGGGAGTCAAATTACCATTTCTATACCACACCACCATGGGTCTCTAATACTAGCTAATTTAGCAGAGAACTGTGCTTCTTAGCCTTCCTGAGTTTATATAAAGCATTTCATTAGAGAATGAATTTTTTTTAGGTTGAACTCACATTAGCACTGTGTCATTTTAATACATTTTGACAGATCACGTCTCTTATATTTAACAGCATTTTTAGCTGTTCTCCAGAAATGATTCTGAAAGTAAATGTGGGTAGTAGTTCCCTCCAGTAATTGTCTTAAACATCACATGAAGACACAGCACAGTATTTTTCAATACTGGTTCTCACCAGCCTTGTAATTTGCATGCTCCTCCAAGACGCCTTACAAAAGGGATATTTTTAATGCATTTGGAAGACAACAGACTAAATAGCTTTTGCACTTCCCTTAAATTATGTATTTTTAAACCTTAATAATTCCACTTGAAAACAGGATTAAATGCTGGGCAGGAAAGTACATCTAAAATGGAATCATTGATTGATTTTTTTCGTCTGTACACACCCTCAAATTTTGAGGAAATGATTTCTTTTCACTTCCACACTACAGCAGATTCAGATGCACCTCATTTTTCTGTATCTTCACAGGCTGTGTACACCCACAAATGATATGATCAGGAAATGCTCATGCTTACTAATCTTAACTTGCAATTTAAGTCATTTAACGGAGATATACATATGCAGGCTACATTTGCAAGGGAACCTTAGCTAAGGGGTGGAATATGTATTTTCTAGTAACTTTGTATCCTAATAATTCACTGTTTTACATATTATTATGGGTACAGCTAAATGTTAAGAACAGTCAATAGATTTCTCTCTCTCTGTGTGTGTGTGTGTGTGTGTGTGTGTGTGTGTGTGTGTGTGTGTGTGTCCTTGGACTTGAAATGATATCCTGTGTGCTGTTAGAACAGCGTAGGGAGCTCTGCCACTTAGTCTACAGCTCCACTTCTAGCTTTTTGTTGCTTAATTGGTGATAAGAGTCTCAGAGATTTTCCTGCTGGCCCTGGCTTTGAACCTGAATCCTCAGATCTTAGCCATCTGGGTACCTGCACCTGGCAACGTTTGTTTTAATTTTGATGATTTGATATTCTACAAGAGTGAGGCTGGCTTTAACTTTCTCATTTAAATTTTTTGTTGCTAGAGTCAATAGATGTTTAAGTTCAGTCAGTATCATTTTTAAATGACATTCATTAAAAATGACCTACAAAGCAAATAGTTTATTGTCTAAGTTTATTCAAAATCCTCCCTGATGTAAAAGTAGATCCTCAGACTTTGTAGAGGACTAGGATAAACTTGAACTTATATTTCCTTCTAGTCTGAAATTTAGTTTAAAGTCCTATCAGGATGGCCTTGAAGATATGCTTAGACTGAACTGTCATGAATCAGAAATCTCTATACATTTTATAAGCTTGACCTTCGCCAAATTGACAATAGCAGAAGGTTAAATATTAACATTGAGAAATCATTCTCCTCACATGAAGCATGCTTTATGTCATTAGGGAAAGCTACTGCTCATACAGTTCCCCCTGCAAATTGCTACCACCTCTCACACATCTGGAGTGTCTGCTCTGTCAGGAACACACATGTCACATCTTTAAAGCTAAAGAACCTTTGTGGCTCAGTATTGTTAGCTCCATTTTACAGACAGACAAAGGAAGACTGGAAGCAACTGGGCAACATGCCTAAGGTTATGAAGTTAGTCCATGAACATGGAAAAGCTGGTGAACAGATCGAACTGAATGCCAAACCTAAGGTTCTTCTGGTCTGAACTGAGAGCCACATGGAACCTAGCACTGGTTTTCATGTAGAACTGTTTAATTTCCTTCCCTCAGGAAGCATCTAAGGATCTAGTCTAGGTTCCCACCAGTCAGTCAGAAGAATCCTTGTCTTCTGTGAGATAGTGGTAATAATTCTTCCCTTGGAAGTGTTGAGTGTCAAGAACTTAGTATTCTATTAACTTGCATGTTCATGGAAATGATACTGGGTTGTGATGGAGAAGGTATTAATAATACTAATGAAAAAAAATTGTCCTTATCAACTTATGTTTCTTATTCAAATCATCTCTGAATCCACATTATTTCATTCAAATCTGGATATTTTCTAAAGTTTTTTTTTTTTAAAAAAACAGAATTTACTCCAAATGGATCAAAGACCTCAGAGTCAAAGCAGACACCCTGAAAACATTACAGGAAGGAATAGGAGAAACCCTAGGTCTCCTTGACACAGGCTGAAATTATCTTAATAGAGACCCAGAAACAGAGCAAATCAACAAAAAGTTGGACAAATGGGATTGCATGAAGTTGCAGAGCTTCTGCATGGCAAAGGACATAGCTAGCAAGATCAATAGAAAGCCCAAAGATTGGGAGAAGATCTTCACTAGCCATACAACGGACAAGGGTCTCATATATAAAATATACCTGGAACTCAAAAAATTGGATCCCCCAACAACA